AGGCATGGATTTACAGAATAAATATCAAATTTCATGTTATTATCAAATATAATTCATTTTTAAACGATTTAAATGTAATGAAGAAAATTGTGGCAAAAAATTCACATTAGCAAATAGTTTAATTATTCACAAACGCATCCATTCGGGAGAAAAACCATTTATTTGTATTTTCAAAGAATGCAACAAATCTTTTCGAACAAAATCAAATCTAATTCAACACAAACGCATACATTCGGGAGAAAAACCATTTGTTTGTCAATTTAATGATTGTAATAAAAGTTTTACACAGAAATCAAGTTTTAATCGACATTTGAAGATCAAAAAACATGTTGCAAAATGTCACCTCTCTTGAATTATTAGTTCATGGTACTTAAATATGTTAAATATGATATTAGAATTGATTTTGTAATTATTGATTATTAATCAATAAAATGTATTTTTAAAATAATTTGTTATTTTTAATTGTGTATAGAAATAAAAACAATTTAATGTTCAAAGAATATATTTTTAATTTTGCTTTTATATTTTTATAACATTATCAAAATAAAATTTAATTCATTAAAAAAATTAAAAAATAGTTAATAAGCTTAATGGTTTTTTATTAAATTTTTAAATATATTTTGAATCAATTTAATTTCTAATCATGATAATTATAAGAAATAGTCGGCCCAAACGCCGTCACAAGTTTCATGAAACGGGTCATTGAGTACAAGCCGTAAGTCCTTTGGGTCCAAACCGTGGACTTTGGGCGCACCCATCGGCTCATCGTTTAACAGTTGCGGCCAATCAGAGTCCATATGACTGTGAATTAAACAATTTAATGTTTTGTTTAACGTGATAATTATTATCATGTTTGATAAAAAACATTAAATTATGCAATTAATTATTTGTCATTGAATAGTTATTAAAACTTATAATAATCTATAATGAGTTTTAGATTATAGAATGTGCATTAGATTATATAAATTACGATAGTCAATTTAATTTACCCTGTTTTGGCAAATGTGGTCCACATTTTCATCACATATTTACTGAAATAGTTATCATCGGAACTGTAGTTGTTTGGGTAACGGAGTGGTAGACCCCAGACAAACGGGTGATCCTGCATGTGACAAATGCCCATGGTGGTTAGATCGCACCATGTTTCATTAGCAAAGTATTTACTCGCGTACAACAACTCGTAAAAGTAAACCCTTTGCGACTCTTTGACAGTTTGTGCGAACCGTTTGGCGAACAGATATGTCGGACATATGAAGTTTATATCACTGAATAGTGCGGTCAATGCTATGCGCAGTGCCGCCGGACTACTAGTGTTGACACCTTTCAGGTAATGTTCCGTCACTTTCGGTACATTCACGTTATGAAAACCCAATAATTCCATGGATTTAAACGCGTTTTGAAAGTCCGCGAGTGTCACGTGATTCGGGTCTTTGACAATAGTGCCCAAAGTCATAGACCCCTCGTCGTGGTTAATGCCACCCAATAAGTCGATATCTATGTATATAAAATTAATATCACTTAAACTGTTTTAACAATATATTTAAATTGTTTATATTAAATTGTAATTTTTAAGATGTAATTTTACACAATAAAATATTATTTTAATTTAAAGTTAATTATTTACAATGCTAAATTATAACTAAATTTTACATAAATAATTACTTAAAATTTTAGTTAAGAAATACTTTACC